GAGTAAATATTTTGATAGCAGTCTGATTAAGATTTAACCTAAGGTGAAATTTGCATATGTAACTTTTATTCTACGGTTCTATTCTTTTCTATAAATCTAAGGTGAATATAAGATAATATATGTTCAAAGACTCTCATTCCTTTAATAATGAAGGCTCATATCCATGCATATACATACTTGCACTCAGAATCTCAAGAAATAACAATAGATCCTTTAACCATAGAGATCATTTGGCTCGTGATACAAAGTTACATATCCTATTTAACATTTATTCAGGTATTGTGTTAAAGTTGAGGCGCTCTCAATTCTTTTCCTAAAAATAGTCAAAAGAAAACGACAATCTGATGGAGAAGGAAATATTACTGACCCCATTTTACCGGGAATTAGGTTAAAAAACTTAACCCCAAAGATTTGGACAATTAATGTAAAATATTATGAGAGGGTTGTTTTGGAAGTTATCATAAGGAAAAAGGAAACAGGTGAAAGATGGTAGGTCCGAACTGAGCTTTGGATTTTAATGTCTTTGTTGGTACCTCTTTCCATATATTTGAATACTCACATTGTAATTGCATGGAACGGTTGTTTTGTTATGCAGATCAAAAGGAAAAGGGTTAAATTCCCTTGTGGGTCCCTGCACCATTTTTCTTATACCGTCCCTAAACCACTCTTAAATCCGAGATAATCGCATGCTTAGACATACACAAATGACGGTCTCCAAAATGTTACAGTAACAATGATGTAAAACTAAAAATGAATCGATTTGGGTTCATGCATTAAGTGACAAACGTAAACTTTTATGTTATGGACGAATTTATAAAATTTTAGGGAAAAATAAATTTTCAATAAAAATATAAAAAAATACTTAAATTATATGAGAGTTTGAAATTTTCAGAAGACAACCGTCCTCATTAGCCTCCTCGGTCTAATTATAAGCAAATTAGTTACCTACCGATAAAGGGAGCAAATAATATTTGGATATTTAACTTTACTTACTCTTTTCACATCATTTTAAAACATAATCTTGTATTTTTACTTCTTTGTTTAAAAATTAAAAGTATAAGGACTAAATTTTTAAATTTTATAAGTTACTCCTAAACCTATGGTATAAGGACCGACTAGGTAGTTATCCAACAAAGATCAAAATGGACTTGTTTTTCTTCCTCTTTTTGGTGAGTGAAGATTCAAATTTTATAGCTAGGTAAGAAGAAATAAATAAAAATAGACTTAAATGATCTCTAATGAAATTAATGGTTAACCAACTAATCAATGATATCATGTACAAAATAACCAATATTTGGATTAACTATCTAAGAAGGGTAATTAAATTAGGTGTCCGTAACATATTTATATCACTTATTTATTGTAGTACGTTGTAAAAATAATATATATTTATTAAAAGTTGATCGATTTTGTTATATATTTTTTGAGGTTATCTTTGAAAATTACCAACTCTCTGTCAGTAGATGCCTTCATATAAGTTTCATCGTTTATCGAAATTTCTAAGGAATTCGTATCCTTCGGAACACATGAGTATCATAGCCTCCTAGCTAACTATAGTGCATAGATAATATTTCTGACGGACACACATGACCTAACAGAGCAAAATTCAAGATCTGACAACTAGATCTGTTTAGTCTATTGACCTACGAGTAGTCATAATGATCTTATGCCTTACACCATCAATTATGGTCTTTATAAATACATTTTAACTACGAATATGAAATAATCCTCTCTATTTCCTTCTTTTTTTTCATTACCTATCTTCTTCCTTATGTTTTCATCTCTACCAAAAGAGAAACACCAGCCAACAATTGTATACTCTAACTATAATTCTCTATTCAAAATAAAAAAATAAACCATCAACAATAGATAAAATAAACTTATTTTCGTCAATAAATTCCGTTCATAGGTTAGATTGCTTACTTCACTAAATGATAAAATAAATTGAATGTACTCAAAAATTTTAAACAGAAATAGTAAAATATTGTAAAACTGAAGAAATATAGACATTAATGAGCAAGTAAATATAAGATGGAATGGGGCCAGGCAGGCAGCAGTGGGCACGTTTGTTTTTGTTAAGCTAGAGAGAATCCCATTATTGATGAAAAAGAGAGAGGCAGGGCAGAGGGTTGTCTGGTTTCAGGAGAGTTTACACGTGACATGAGGTGACATCCACACGTGTGTAACTGATGAAAGGGAACAAATGATGAACATATATTCAAAACACCACCCGCAGTTACTTGAGGATATTAAAAAGGGACACATGCATAATCTTATATTAGTACGATGGATTTTTAAAAATTTAAGAGTTGACGAATTTATGAAATGATAGAAAAATGAAAACAAATAATTAATTAAAAAATATAAAAAATATTTAAAAATTTAAAAATTTTAAAAATTGTCCTCGTTCATCCATTCCATCCACCCTGACATTATATACATTCATATGAATCATACAATGGACTGTGAGTTTTTGTTTTGATTGCAGATATTGAAGTCGCTGAAACAGTGCAGCTGATATAATGGCAGATATATGTAGTCATGAACCCAACAACTTCCTTTTGTTTACATCTTCGGTAAATATAATTTTAAGCGTCTGAACTTTATTTCAAAGTTCAATTTGACATTTAAATTTTTATTTAATTCAGTATATAAATTTGATCTTAAGGTTTAATTTGATATTTAACTTTTTTATCTAATTATCTAAATCTGATTTTTTTATTTAAATTTATATGTAAACCAGGCAAAAGTATAAAAAAAAGGCAGTATAATTTAAGGCTAAAAATAATAAAAATAGGCATGACAAAAAATATTATAAAAGAGTATAATATTTTAGGTTAGATTCAACTTAAAATGTTGCATTCTTCGTAACATTTTCGGTTGAACTTAAAATATTACGAAAAATGTAACATTTTCTGTTGTCGACCGAAAATGTTATGAAGAATGTAACATTTCAGACGCAACCTAAAATGTTACATTCTTCATAACAATTTCGGTCGCACTCATTTTCGTTATTTTTTAACCTTAATTTATTAGGTTGTATTGCAGAACTACCCATAAACTAGACTTTATAGTTTATTTGGTTTAAATAAATCACTTATCATAAGTATCAATTTAGACTAAAAAAGAAGGTGTCATCTTATCAGAGAATATCTAAGGAGAATCTTATCATATTCAGTGTGATTTGTATGAAGGGAAATGACTATACTAATTGATATGATTAGATATGACTATATGTTATTTCCTTAGATAGGAGTCCTTGTATGATTTGAGCATATTTTAGTCGTCAGTGTAAATGATCTAGACCTTTCGATGTAGGAAGAATTAGCTATAAATAAATACATTCTCCATCTCATTAGGGGCATACAAAAAAAGAGAGGTGGAGAATAAGGAGAGAGAAAAAGAGAGTTACCCAAAGAATTATAATTTGAAGAATAAGAGCAATAAAAGAGAAATTTTGTTTAAAGATTAGACCTAAATTATCCTCATTTTTATTTTATTATTTTACAACCTTAATCTTTGTTAGTTTACAGTAACAACCATTTCAAGTGAATTTTTGGTAATATGCATATACAGTAAGGGGTAAAATTTAAGTATTCGACCTTACCTAACTCAAAAAGGTGGGTGACAACTATAAAATGATAAATGTTCACTTTAAGTCGAGATTCGATCTCGGGACTCTCAAAAGATCGTTCCGACAATTATACTCAGATTTCACATATTTTTTTTTATTTGAAAATCCTTTTGAAACAGGATAAGATAAAAATAAAATATTTTAATTTAATAAATTTAATTCAAATAATTTAATTTGAAAAGCTAAAAGAACTTAGGGTAAAGTACATAAATGATCCCGACTATAGGTTATTGCTTTGTTGAATCCTCAGACTATTGAAAGTTACAAAATGATCCTCTGACTATAAGATTGTGCTTTATTGAGTCCTCCAACTATTAAAAGTTACAAAATATTCATCTACCTATTCATATATATGTTCCAAACTAATCCTTCTTCGTTAAAAAATTGAGAACCATCTAAGTTGGACGCTAATCTACTCACTGAGATATGATAGAAAACTGATCCCATAACTATTTGAGTTGTATTTTGTGGATTGAGTCTCTGTTTACATTATATTGTCGAGTCAGTGCTTGAAAGTAATGATGATGCCAATAGACATCATTAAAATATTTTTTTATCATATCTCAATCAGTAGGTTAATGTTCAACTCAGACGACCGTCAAATTTTAATAGAAAAGAGTTTGAAACATATGAATAATCGTGTGACCATTTTGTAACTTTTAATAATTAGAGGACTCAACAAAGCAATGCCCTATAGTTGAGGGATGATTTTGTAACTTTTAAAAGTCGATAGACTCAATAAAGCATTACCCTATAGTCGGAGACCATTTATGTACTTTACCCAAAAACTTAATTTGATTAATTAATTTTTTTCCGAATTGAACATATATACTCACCTTGACAAGTATAGATTTGTGTAAGTTTGCACAAGCACTATGAAGTAGCGTAGGACAGTGTGTGCTTTGAAAGAAAGGATCAAAGCTGTTGAGTTTGAGCAGCTTCTTTTATTTTCTATCAGACACTATTGAAATCAACTCTTCCAACAGAACACACACTAATTCGTGTGAAAATTCTTTTTTTTTTGTTTGTTAGATATACAACGAAAACCCATAAAAACTTTCCACCAAATCTCTAATTTTATTATTATTATTTGTTTTTTTTTTTTTGGCAGACTGTCACTTATTTTGCTTACCAAAACCTCTGATATCTCTCTCCCTTTCTTTGTTTCTTTACCTGCAATCTGCACTTTCTTTTTGCCGTTCTGGGATATGAAGATGACCTTGCAACAGTTCCACAACACCTCCTGTTTTCATCACCAACAAAACCGTAATAATAATGGCACCACCTTATATCCAACTTCAAACTCATCAATGGAGTCCATGGATTCTCTTTCTCTTTTTCCATATTTCTTTGCAGAAGAAGAAGAAGATCATTTCTCTAAAGCCTCCATGAAAGATCATGTTGGGGTTTCAAAGGTTTGCTCCAGAGGGCATTGGAAACCAGCTGAGGACTTCAAACTCAGGGAACTTGTTGCTTTATATGGCCCTCAGAACTGGAACCTTATAGCTGAGAAATTGCAGGGAAGAACAGGTAAATTAAGAATCACTACTACAAGAAACATACATTAATTATTCCTTAGTTCTTGTTTTGTGTTTGATTATTCTTCTCTTTTTTGAAGGTAAAAGCTGTAGATTAAGGTGGTTTAATCAGCTTGATCCGAGGATCAATAAAAAGGCTTTCACAGAAGAAGAAGAAGAGAGGCTAATGGCAGCTCATAGAGCTTATGGGAACAAATGGGCAATGATTGCTAGGTTTTTCCCTGGTAGAACTGATAATGCTGTTAAAAACCATTGGCATGTGATAATGTCCAGAAAATATAGAGAGCAAGCTAGTGCCTACAGAAGGAGAAAGCTAAGTCATCATCAAGCTGTTGAAAATGGCAACCCTTATTTAGCTGGTTCGAATTCAAGGGGTGAAACAAATGGTGAAGATTTGTTGCTTGCAGGGTCAAACTCTAAAAGCTGCAACACCAACAACACTTGTGAAAACCCCACACCCTTGTATTTCTTTTCTGGTTTGTTCATTTTTTGTTTACTACTTTTGGCTACATTTTGAACAAATCTTTCATATGTCTAGTCATGGTCATCCTGGGGAAAGATATTTACTAGTTTCACGTTTTATTAAATGTTTCAGATGATGGTACTCGCAGAAACAGTAGGCAATGGAAAATGGTGCAGGATGAAACGATGATAATGCAACAATCATGTAATCATCAGGCATCAGCTGGTAATTTCTCCGACTCCATGGCATCGGCATCTCAGGTCACGGTGAATGAACCATCATCGCCATCAGCGAGCCATTTTGAGACCATTACTGTACCGTCATCTCCCACATTTATAGATTTTCTTGGAGTAGGAGCTTAATGGAAAGAACCCAAGGGTTCCTAAACCAGGTAAAAAAAAAACTAGCTGTGACATGATTGCAGAGGGAAAAGAGAAAGGATCTTTGTTGAGTCATCAGCATGATCTTTGTCGATGTAAAACCATTGTCGCAAATTCCAAAAGTTGAACCACTGAAAGCTCATACCCTTTCTCATCACCAGTCTCACACTTTTCATTTTTCACTTTCTTTCATCGTTTCTTTTCTTTTAATGAAATTAAAAGAAAGTTTCAAGGTTAATAACAATGACTAGGAAATGGAAAACAAGGGAGATGAAAAATCAATTATCAATTGATTTAATACGATAAAAGTTTAAATTTTTAAACAATATTTATAATTTAAATCCTAATATTGTTAATAAATTAAATTGAATTAATCTGATTTATTGCTTTTAATTATAATTATATTTTATGCAATTAGAATCAGTTAGTTTTATTAGAAAATAAAAGTCTAAAATTACAATGACAATTTATAAGCATAAGTGTAAACTAAACACATAATTAGGACATTTATTATAATTATTAACATGAAATTAGTCACTCAAGATCATATAAGGATCATACAAGAAAAATGTTAAGAATTCATAAAAAAAACTCGAACAAAATAAAGATCATATAAGGACATACAAGAAAAATGTTAAGAACTCATAAAAAAATTCGAACAAAATAAAGATGTGAACATATCTAACTGCATTGGTAAACAAATCACAACATGGGACCAAACAACTGAAAGACTACCGACAATCGCGAATTAGAGTCGAGAATCGTGAGAAAAATATCTTCGAACACAAACTGTATATTCAAATTCATTCGAGAGTCTGAGGCAGGACAAATCAACATGATAATAAATAAGTGACATCGTAATCAGTCAAGATGATGCCAAATTCAACCCTAAAAAAGTAAACAAAAACAAAACAACCAAACCAAACGAGTGATAGAGAAGATAAAAAAAATGTGTCTAAAGGCATAGAATAATGTGCTATATAGGCAATGAAAATAGTACCATGAAGATAGAATTATTAGAAATTAAAAAATAAGAAAAATAAAGATATGATATAAAAAAATAGATGAACAAGAAATACCGACAAGTTTAGTCTATTCTTAAACTGTTAAATAAATAGACTAAAGATACATGTACTTTAATTTCAAAATTGATAGTATACTTTAAAATAATAATAATTTCAAAATGTGTGAGAGTGAGTGATGGTAACGGTGGGTTACAAAAGAAGGAAAGCAATGAAATGGAACAACAGTGAGGCAATAAGTTACAGAACAGTAGAAAACAAAAACAAAAAGCATACAATTTTCATGGGCACTTCTCAGATTTCTGGTTTAGATGTGTATCTTTGGGTATGATAAACCCATAAATTTGGTAATATTATTTACTATATAACCATACGAAACGAATACGATATAAAAAATTATTCAAAATTATCATCCTCCTTCTACGTAGGAATTATTCAAAAAAACAAGTTGTGGTAATCATTTTTAAGCATAATGTGCATGAAATTACAGATATTGCGCAATTATTTCATTAATAATATATATTTGACGTATTAACATATCAGTTAAATTTTAATTATAAAATTTATTTTTCACATGTCAAATTCAAAATGTTCTTGCAAAATGTATACACGTGTTTAAAATTTGATCCATGTATATTATATATATTCCATCTCATACCTAAGCTAACATTTAATACTCAAATTCATTGCTATACTGATTTAAAGATATGATTGAAATGATATCAATAATATGATGGTTCAATTAGAATGTTTTTAAGTTTGAAGATCAATTTAGAATTAAAACATAGTTTGGGGATGTATGATGTAATTAACTATAATAATAAGTGATAATGTCACATTTGGAACATGTATTTTAATAAAATATCTAATTTGGTACACGTGCTTTTAAATCTTTTAATGTGGTAGTTGTACTTTGACAGAATGTGTAATGTGTTATATATACTTTTTAAATTGTTAAATGTAGTACATATACTTTGACAAAATATGTAATGCAGTACTTTTACTTTGATAAATCTAATGGAGCATTTGGATTTTCATTTTGTGTTTTATTATAGTATTTATGAATTTTCATTGACTGATTTGACACTTACTGACGGTGTATTTTCATGGGTTAATCTGACACTTATTGACTATGTTAACCCATGTACCATAATAATACACAAAATATAGTTCATGTACGAGACTTAACAATGTTAATTCTGGTACATAGAGGTATTTTGACAAATTATATATACTAAATTGGATATTTTTATCGAAGTACAATTACCATATTAGACATTTTGTCAAAGGACAAATACCACATTAAACATTTTAAAAGTAAACACATCATATTATATATTTTATTAAAATACAAATACCAAATACTATATTACCCCTAATATAAAACGAATGTAATATTATTATGCAAATCTCTTACAATTTTATGAAGAAAAGTTTTGTAAAGAACTTTTGGGCCCAAGTGATTGTGGTCTTTCGGTTCCTTTTTCCATGGGCCATTTGTAATTTTCTCCATTTTGGAGCATATACAGTAAAAAATATACTGCAACATGAAAAATAATTAAAAGTAAATGTTGATATGAGTTATATAAGAAATAGTTTACTAAAGAAATTGAAGATTGGGTTCTGGGAGGATGAAAGGAGGAAACGAGATATGAAATTAAGGATTAAAAGGTTAATATAATTATTATTATTTTTTCACAATTTATTTCCGTATCATGTTTATAAAATATAATTAAAATGCTGCATCATTCATCAGTTTAACGATAAAAATTAATTGAAATTAAACGAATGGATTTACTAAATATAAATTGTATAGGAATTAGTTTACACATTTTCTCAATAAAGGTTCAAAATGGAATGTGTGATATAGTACTGGGACTAATATGGTACTTTTACCGAATTATGAATATATTGAAATTTTATATGAATACATTTGAACAATGCAACCATGCTCTTCTTCAATTAGATTTTCTTCTTCCTCTATTATAACTAAGGAATCAGTTGTTTTCTCCTTTGAAATTATTGTTGGTTCCTTAAGATCGTCTTTACTTTTTGTTATACCTCTGAAAATTATCTAATCTCCATTAACCAAGGCCTCTAGATAGAATTTTATTTCTATTAGAGTCTCCAAGGAATCTATACCCTCCGAAATCATGAAGATTATAACTTCGAATCAACTACAACACAAATAAAATCTCTGTCAAGCCCACGTGATCTACTAGAGAGAAATCAAATATAAGATTTGACAATCACTTAGCTCGTTAATCTACAAATAACCATAATGATCATATGCTTAACACCAACAATTAGGATCACTATAAATACTTCTCAGCCACGAATGAAAAAGAGAGCTTCTTCTTCTTAATATGAATCACCCTCCACCATTTTATCTTCCACTCATATATTCTATATTATGTCTTCTCCTCCCCTAGAGAAATAGATTGGTCAATGAATGTCTTTCATCTGCTGCGACTATTCACCCAAATCAAAAGGAGTAAACTGTCAACGGCCTAAGCAACCTAATAGTTCACTTCAACAATTAATGCAGTTAGCGTTTAATTCCCCATTAGAAAAGAATCAATCACAATGAATCCTTCAAACCAGCCATTCTCTGGACCTATTAATTCTGAAGAGCTGCATCGAAACGTAATGTCCCAACAGACTATAAGTCCTTTGTGGCTTTTTATGACGTCTCAGATCACCCTTGCAAACATTTTTTCCAACCAGAATACTATCTAAATTTCAATTCTTATGATAAAACTCACATGCACAACCCAACCTCAAACATCGAATAGCCCAATCAAAAAGAGCAAACAACTTCTGCCCTTAATACTCTAGTGGTTGAGACACCCTATCCGAAGGTAGCCTAGGAAGCAAAGAAGGAACGCTTTGACGATGAGAGCACTGCATGTAAACGAGAAGAGGATCCTAACGCAATGAAACTTTTCATGTATGTGTCATGCAACGTGTCCTCTACCTCTCGCATGGACAACAACGAAGATGTGTAGCCTTCACATATGCACAATTTCCAATTGAGGTAATTTTAGTTCCAATAGCACGTAGAACTCCAAGGAAACCTCTCAGAGACTGTCTTAAGTATTCTCATGCAGATAATAACCTGTATAGGTAAAAAAAATTCCTCCGTAATAAGCTATCAATGTTCTGTCTTGACTCGCTGACAAATTAGACATTTAGAGATGAATTTGATAGTAGTCTTACCCATCTTATATTATCAATGGTCATATGTCGTTGACTGCATAGAAGGATCAGATGCTTCTATCTTAATCATTCCTAGTAGAGTTTTCGGGATCGAGAGTGTCATCATGTCTGCGTTGTTTCTTAGGAAAGAGAGGGTCATCAAAGGGAGTTTACATTGTACCAACATTGAATATCTTTAATAACATTTGAAATATTTTTAGATAACATATTAATAACCTTTTTTGTTATCTCTCTGTAATCTTCTTCTCCATTGAATTACATTTGTTATTTAACTTCGAAGTTTCAGTATATATAAATAATCCATCCACTACAATATTAAAAATTTTAACCTTATCAAATTCAATCATTTTTATATAATTATCGGTATTTAATTTATTGTTCAACTAATTTAAATTAAAAATTTTAGAAATATATTGTAAAGACTACCCTCTTAGTTTAATTTAGTTCGTTTGCATTAATTACAATTGAAACATAGAAATTATTTTAAAAAAATGGGTAATGTACACAAATGGTACTCGGAGTATAGGATAATGCTTTGTTATGTCTCATGATTATTAAAAGTTACCAAATAGTCACTTGACTATAGGGAGTTACTTTGTTTAGTCCCTCGATTATTAAAAGTTACAAAATGATCACCCAACTATTCATTATGTTCCAAACTCATCCTTTTTCGTTAAAAAAATTAACGATTGTATGAGATGGATGTTAACATGCTGACTGAGATATGATAGTCAATTTGAGATTATGAGATCAGATTTTGTCATATCTCAATCAACAGGTTAACATTCAACTCAGACTGTCGCTAATTTTTTAACGAAAAAATGAGTTTCGAACATAATGAATAGTTGGGTGACTATTTTGTAACTTTAATAGTTAAGGGACT